CCGTGGCCGTGCTGGACTTCATCCACTACTGCCGCGTGTGTGTGTGCTGCCAGCTGAAGGTACTGCTCCCCGGGCAAAGCCTGCCTTCATCTTCTCTTCCCCTCTGACCAGGCTGAGCTGTTTGAAAGGCTGTGGCTGTCTGTTCCTCTGGGGTGTTTTTGGGAGTGGTGTGGGTCCCTGAGTACCTGTGCAGGCTCCTGTTCAGCTGGATTCCTGTGAGATGCTGCCCAGAGAAGGGTTCTGTGTTTCTGATGTATGAACGGGGATTTGAGATCTAAAATGGTGGTTTTTGGAGCTCCTGGCTCTGCAAAGATCCTGACTCACAGCCCTGTGTGGGAAGGCAGGGATGGGAGCAGGTCATGTGAGGGGCTGGTGAGTCTCACAGGGGACAGAAGTGAAGGGCCCTTCAGGGGCACACCAGCCCCTCCTCCCACCACCCTCCAGCGTGGCTGGTCTCCAGGGTGGGGTGAGGATCTGCCAGCGATGTGGGGACTCCTGAGAGCCCCACAGCCAGAAGTGCTCGCAGTCACATCCAAACCGCCATCACAGGCAGGTTCCCTCCCTGGGCCCTGCCCTGCAGGAGTGAGGAATGAGCCAGTGGTGTCGGGTGTTGTCACCCTGCGCTTCACACGGCGGTGTTGGGCTGTACGTGCTGACAGGGGATGATCTGCTTGCAGGGAATATTTACCTCCAAAGAGCTAAAAAAGGTAATAAACCACGCTAACACTTTGCTATTTCTGTCTGAGGTGTTCTGAAGCTTTAAAGTACATTTTAATTGATTGAAAATTTGTGTTAAATCACTGGTGACTTGCATGGGCTGAGGCAGTCTCTTGAGGTGGATGTTAATAGAGTCGGTGTGTTGGGGAGGTGTTTGCTCCCTGTCAGAGCTGTGAGGGTGTGAGCATTGCTGCAGCCCTTTGGCCACCTCTTTATTTACCTGCTCTGAATTCAGTTAGTGCCATCTGCCCAGCCTGACAGACTGGTTCAGCCACTGTCTCCTCACAAAGGCCAGAGGTATTTTTAGACCTCATGTTACATGTATGTGTGTGTACACAATTTGTGCAGTGAGCTCTTCAGTGTTTGTATGTCATAAAATAGCCTGTGTTGGAAGGGACCATAAAGATCATGTGTGCTGTGGGCAGGGACACCTCTGGTTTGGGCCCAAAGCTGGAGGCAGCTCTGTGTGGGCAGAATTCCCCCTCCTCTGCTGCCCACGCTGGGGATTAACCAGGGCATGGGGGGTTTCTGGCTGGGGCATGTCCAACCTCTCCATAGCAGCTGCTGGTTTTTTTCCCAGTGGAATTCAGACCAAGCTGGAGCTTAGATGGGTGTTTGTGAAAGCTCCTGTTGCCCCCCTCTCCGTCCTTCCCCTAAAGGATTAGGCCCAGCCGGGGGCTCATCCCTGCCTGCTGCTCCTGTTCCAGGGGAACATCGTGGTGCTGGTTCACAGCAATGAGGATTCGGAAGATGAGGAGAATGAACTGGTTGTGAACTCCCTGTGTCATCACAGCGACCTCATCCTGTGGGCAGAGGGGCTGGCCACCGGCTTCTGCAAGGATGTTCACGGGCAGGTGAGGCACAGCACAGCCACGTGTCCCTGCCACCTACAGCACTGCAGGGGTTGTGAGGGACAACCCAGGCTGCAGTGTGCTTGAGGGGTAATCCCGTGGGCACCAGGGTGTGCTGGAGCACCCAGCTGTCACTCTGCTTCTGTGGGGATATTCAGGGACATCCTGCCACTGGGACTCCCCACCTGGGGAAGCCTTCCAGGGTTTATACAGCACTGCAGGCTTCTCCCACCCCAGGGTGAGGGAAAACTTTCCTGGGATGTTTCCCCAAACGTGCATCTGAGCCTGTGGTGATCTCTGCAGGGCTGGGAGGGTGCTGATACTTGTGTGATCCCTCCACCAAGGGCTCAGGGACAGGGAGTTGCCAAGGCATTATTTATCAGTGATGTCCCTTCCCTGCAGGCCAGCCAGAGGCACGGGGGACAAGGATGCTCTGGGCAGCGAGAGGGTCAGTGTTCCTATTCCTTTCCCTTTGCAGATTAAGATAATCAAGAGGTTGTCCTTGCGGCAGGCGGCGGAGCAGGATGTGGTGCAGATCTACCAGTACAAGATCCAGGACAGGAACGTCTCCTTTTTCGCACGGGGGCTGTCGGCTGCGGTCCTGTGACACTGTGACGTGCAGAGCCCGGGGGTGTCAGTCCTGCCTCTGCAAAAGCACCACCAGCACCTCTCAGGAGCAGCGCAGCAAACTGACCCTGGAAGTGCTGCCAGCGTGGGATCAACCTGCCTGCATCCCTTTGTTCTCCCACCCCACTCCCAACAGGCTCAGGCCAAGGAAGGCAGCAAGAACTTGCAAGAATGGCCCTTAGAGCATGTAAATACAGGCAGGGGTGCCCTGCAGGCTGGGTGTGCCTCACCTTTTCCGGTGGTTGGGCACAGCCTGGCAGTGCCAGGCACTGCACGGAGAGCACCCCTCCCTGCCGCTGGCACGGGAGGAGATGACACACAGCGGGTGGAGCAGGGACGGTCCGGGAGCCTGGCGCAATCCTCTCCTCGCTCCCAGCTCTGGCTGCAGAGGTTTGCCCAACTCCCAGCTTCCATGCAGGTGGTAAATGCACAGCTCCTGGATAGCCCTCACCTGGCTGTGCTGGGACCTGGGTGCTGCTCTGCTTTATCCCCTGCGGCTTCCCAAGCTCATCCTGGGCCTTGTGGTTGGATAAACCCTTCTGGGAGCCTTGTCTCAGCCACTGCTTCCTCATCCCAAACCATGACTGGCAATTACATGACCTGCCTTTGCTGAAGTGGGTTTTTTATTAATAATCCATAATTTTAGTGAGATAAGGGTGCAGGTATTAAGTAACTGCGGATCTCCGGGTGGGAACTGCTCCCCACGTGTTCCTTGGCAGGGAGAGGAATGGGCATCTCCCAAGCCTGGCTGAGGACAGAGCTCAGGTTTGGAGGTCTCCTGGTAGCTTCTCCTGCTGGGATATCGCATTTATCCTGGGAGATCAAAACATCCCACACACTTGTGAGAGTCCAGAGCAGCCTGCCAGGTCCTTGCAGCTCCAGAGCTGGGATAGCAACTCTGGCAGTGGGCACATTCCTGATTTTCCACCTAGACTCAGTCACCCATCCCATGCTGGTTTGGGAAAGTGTCCTTTGCCTTAGGGTGTTGGGAGCCATGGCAAGCTCAGGGCTGTGGCTGCCAGGCAGGCTCCAGGGATTGTGGCACAGCCACAAGCAGGGAGGGGAGTCAGGCCATGTGTGTGCTATGGGATCACTCGTCCCTGGTGTCCCCTGGGTGTCTCTGTGCTCTGCTGTGGCAGTGCCCAGTGCCACTGCTGCTGTCCCAGTGTGCTGGCAGTGCCCAGGGGTCAGTGCACTGTCACAGTGTGCAAAGGGAGGATGAGAGGAGCGGTAGCAGCAGCTGAAAGTGCATCTGTGACAGGCAGAGCATGGTGTATAATTGGGGTTATATCTGTATGGTTATCCTTGGAGAGATCCCAAAGCCTGGCTCCCAGGCTCTGCCTCCCTCTTTTGAAACCAGCAGGGTCATCGTGTGACATCCTGGCTGTGTGACATCCTGGCTGTGTGACATCGTCACTGCTGGCTTCTGCCTGCTTCTTTCTGCCCTTAACCGGTGCCTGTACCCACAAAACGGGCTGAGGAGCCTCGGCCTGACCCGCCACGTCCTCATGCCAGGGTTGTTCTGGGATCTGAGCCCTTTGGAATGAGCCTCTGCCTGCACTGTGCAGTGCTGCCAGCCTGGACAGGGCCCTGAGACCTGTGGGGGCTACTGAGTCAAGGCCCAAAGCCAGCCCAGCGTCCCGCTGTGGCCTTGGGGACACGTCGGGGCAGCTGTGCAGAGCCAAGGCCATCGGCACCTTGCTCTGGGGCCAGCGCTGCGGGAGGGCAGCCGGGCAGTGGATGGCAGGAATGGTGCCATGGGGGCAGCACGGGTGGCCTTGCCCGGGGTCAGCCGCCAGCTGCGTGCTCAGGGCCGCTGCCACCGTGTTTGGTGGTGTGCCAGCCCCAGCTTGGGCAACGCTGAGGAACGGGTGGGCCTTGGCCTGAGGGACCTGCCAGCAGGGGAGGTCCCACCGAGGCTGGGGCTGCTGGTCAGGGGTGCAGAGCCCTGTGAGAAGGGGAGTGTTAGACTGGGGAAACTGCAGGCAGCAGGGACTGCTGCTCTGGAAAGGCTGAGCCCACCGAGATGGAGGAGCAGGGCATGTGTTTTGCAGCATCCCATCCACGCTGCCAGGAGAGCAGGGGCATGTCTAGGGGAGAAGGAAGGAGCCCTTGGCCTTCGGACACTGCTTGCCCCTTCCGAGTGCTGCCAGTGCCTGGCCCACTTCTGTTCCCGGGAACCAGAGTCACCTCTGCCCCCTGCACCGAGCCATGGCTCCCGCTGCGAGGTCCTCCCTCCCGGTGTGCTCTGTCCCGGGATGCTCCAGGGCTCCTCATGCCCATTCCCCGCCAGCAGCTCATCCGGCCCCTCCCGGGATACTCGGGACTGCCAGTGCCGGACTCGCACATTCCCGCCATGCGCGGGTGCCCGGCAGCGCGGCTGGTGCCCGGCCCTGCCCCGGGGCCCAGCTCTGCCCGGCCGGTGCCCGGTTCTGCCCGGCCGGTGTCCGGCTGTGCTATGCCGGTGCCCGGCTGTGCCCGGCCGGTGCCCGGTGCCGCCCCGGGCCCCGCTCCCGCTCCACGTGCTCCCGCCGCCTCCACGCCGCTTCCGGGGGCGTGGCCTGAGGAACAGGAGGCGTGGTCAATGCGTGATTATGCAAATAAAACCATGTATCGCGTCGCGTGGGCGTGGCCATGCAAATACAGCCCATATTAGGGACTAACTGCGCTCTTGGGGGCGTGGCCGGCGGGGCGTGGCCGTGGCCGCGCCGACGGAGGGGGCGTGGCCGGCGTGCGGCGCTGCGCGCGCGCGGTCGGGGCCCGGCGGCGGCGGCGGCGGCGGCGGCAGCGGGGGGAGGGCGGGAGGGGTGGGAGGAACCGGGCCGGGAACGGGCGGAAAAGCTCGGCATTAACGCGGGTTCGGAGCTAAGACACCCCTCAGCATCCTAATTAAGAAAAGCCAGGCCGAGGACACCCTCCAACCGCGAACCGCGAGAGCCGCGGCTGCTGGGAGGTCAAAGGGCGGAGGTGAGGAAGGAGCCGCTTCCCGGTGAGGCGAGACGGGGCCGGGGCGGGCGGGGGCCGCTGCTCGGTGTGGAAATAACCCCTCAGCACCCGTTCCGTGCCTCAGTTTCCCTCCGGTGGGGCCGGGCCCGCGCGATTTCCCGGCCTCAGCCCCGGGCCGCATCCCCTCCGCCTTTGGGGGAATTTTAGGGGATATCTCAGGGGAACGGGGGAACGCGGGGCGGTTTGTCCCGAGGGGTTCGCTGGGGCCGGGGGGGGGTCCTGCCGTGGCTCCGGGATTGGCGGTGGAACCGGGATAATCAATGCCCGGCGCTGGAACCGGGATAATCAATGCCCGGCGCTGGAACCGGGATAATCAGTGCCCGGCGCTGGAACCGGGATAATCAATGCCCGGTGCTGGAACGGGCCGGTGCTCCCGAATCCGGAGATGGAGCAAGGTGCGGGATCACCTCCGCTGCGGGATCAGGATAAAGCGTTTTATGGGAAAGGAGGCACACGATGGGACGCGTAAATAGAACGGGGGACAGGAGTGGAACGCCGCTGGGGTGCCTCAGAACCAGGCGGATTCCTGCTCTGCCTCTCCGGGCTCTGCTCTCCGCACTTATCTCACCCCCTGAATTTTGCTGAACTTCGGGGTTTGTTCAACATTTAGGAATCGCCTTCCTCACATGGGTCAGGATGAACATCTTTACATTATCTTTGCTATAAGGAGCCAGGAGCTTTTGGAATGCTGAGGCAGTTGTGGGGCTGTGTTCGGGAGAATGGCGAGGAAAGGGCTCCGGAAAGATTTTGGCCTTAGTGCCAGAATTTCCTGAATGCAGCATCCACGTGTTTTTCCGGGTTGTTGAAAGGCAAACCGAGTTTCTTTTCATTCAAAGGGCAGAGATGAGGCGTGAGCTCCCTCCCTGTGAAACCAGAGCTGCGAGGGCAGGACGAGGGTGGTAAATTTGGGATTACACGAGCTGTTGTGTAATGCAGAAAGGAGATTAGCTGGCTGGGATTGGGAAGAGAGAACACCCCGGGATGTTCCCTGAACGTGTGCACAGCTCCGTGTTTCCAGGTACAACTTGGCATGGTTTATTTTCCAATCGTGATTCAAATACAGCATCCCAAAAGAGCCACGAACAATCAGGGCCTGTCCCAGGAGCATTAAAATAGTATTTTAAGTGTCAGAATCCTGTGATGAATGAATTAGTCAGGATCTCACCGAGTTACTCAACACTGTTTTCAGACAGGGGGTTGCTGGGCCTGTCTGGCGTCAGAGCTTGGATCATTATGCACCAAAAACTCCTTTTTTTTCCCCCTCTCTGATGAGAATTGAAAAAGTAGAACAGGTACAACTTGAGGAACAAAAATAGCATTACCCGCCTGCAGTGGAATGTGGTCGGTGAGGAGCAGCAGCACAGCACTTCCAGCAGCTCCTGAGCCCTGGGAATCCTTTGGGGCCAGACCTTCCTCCCCTCTCCAGGAGACTCCAGGACCTCTGGGGGAGCTGTGGGCACAGTCCCTGTGCTGGGAGCACGGAGACTGGAAGGAGGTGTGGGAGCAGCTTTCCTTGGCTCTAATATCTGTGATTATAATTCCTTTGCATGCCTTTCCCCACCTTGTGCAGCGCATTAAAGGGTGAGGAAGGAAAGCTGGAGGAGCACTGAGCAGCTCTGTGGTGGGGCAGCTGCTGTTCCATGTCTGGGAGTGCTACTGCACCCAGGACAGGGAGGAACAGGGGCCTGAGGGTGGCTGGCTTGGAGGGAATCTTTTAATTCATGTCCTCAGGTGAAGACCCAGCCCCAAAGGCTCAGAACAGCCTTGGCCTTGTGGCATAACTGGGAAAAAGTAAAGTTCTCCTCCCAGGAAAAGAGTGGTTTCAGCTGGAGTGACAGCGTGGTGGGCAGTGGAGAGGGGAGCAGGATTGCAGTTCTTAAATCTGAATTAATCCTGTGTGGAGCATTGTGATGAAGGAATAATGGTTGGTTTGTTTACAGAGGACAATGTCCGAGTCAGGCTTGGGGACTTGCTGCCTCACAGAGGGGTTTGGGATCGTTTCTCCATCTGGAAGAAAGAGTGCAGTGATTTCCTGAGCCTGGCTTCCTATAGCTGGTGGTGGTTAGAAAGGAAAATGTTGAGCTGTGCGTGGTGCTGTGAGGTGTCCCTTGTGCTCAGCCTTGCCCGGTGCTCCTGCTGTGACCCAGAACCTGTGGAAAGCCAATCCAGGCAGGTGTGTCACCTTACAGGTGCTGTGTCCCTCTGGGGGCCCTCTGCACCCCTGAGATGTGGCAGTGCAGACTCCTGAGCCACAGAAACTGTCCTGAGCAAAGCTGTGGGGTTAATTCTGAGGGAACCACGCAGGGGAATTCGTGCTCAGGGCTGTGTCTGCATTTTTGCTTTTTGTTTCATGGACTGATGGTCAGAACTGTGGGGTTTGTCTCCCTTTTGCCATCCTGCATGTGGTGCCTGTGAGGGGATCCCTGGTGAGTGCATGAGTGATGCCAGAGCTTCCAGAATTCCAGAGCTTCTTCCAGAATTCCAGAGCTTCTTCCAGAATTCCAGAGCTTCCACAATTCCAGAGCTTCCAGAATTCCGGAGCCCAGGGTGGAGGCACAGCTGGAGCTCTGGCTGGGTCTGTGTGGAAGGGAGAAGTGTTCCCCAGAGAGCCAAGGGCACACTCACAGTTCCCTGCCAAACCCACGGGTTGTGCAAAGCCTTCACTTCACAGCAGCCCCCTCTGAAACACACAGCCCTCCCTCTGAAATGGGAGCACCCTTGGGTGATGTTTCCACGAGGTGTTTTTCAGGGAAGTGAGATAAACTCAGTCAGGAAACTCCTGCCACCGAGAGCTGGACTTTGCTGCAGGGCTGTTTCGTGCTGCTCAGAAGATATTTCTGAGGGGTTTTTGGAGGGATTTTCTTCTAAGAGGCAGATGGGACCCGTATGGGCTATGGGTCTGGAAAATAAAATGCAGAATTCTGGGTTTACAGGGTTTCCAGGGATGTGGTTTACCTGGGAAGGGTTTTGGGAAGCTGCTTTGGGGCAACAGGGCTGGAAAAGGAGCTCCAGTTCCTTCCATGGACAATGTTTGCCCATCCTGGGCACTCCTGAAGGTGTTACTGCCCTCTTAAACTGTCCCTGCCCATCAAACTGTGGGGTAAAGCATGGAAGCATCTATCATGGCACATCCCTTAAAAGCAGTTGTAGAGAAGGTGCAGTTCAGTTATTCAGACATGAATTTGAATTTTGGATTTATCTGTTCCAGAAATAAACACCAAACCATACAGCCAGAATGTGTTTGCCTGCATTAAACAGGCTGGTTTGGGTTTTATTTCCTAATATTGGTCATTAACCACCAATGCTGATTTCTGTTCTGAAGGGGAGTTTTGAGCCAGGAAATGTGTCCTGTGCAGGGAAGGGAGCCCAGCCCTGGAGAAAGAAGCAGGGAAGGAGCTGTGCTCACTTCAGATCCTGGTTTGCTGAGGTGGAAGATAGTGGAGATTCACTCTTTTTTCCTCAGTTGAGTTCCTCGGGATGGTCCAGGCAAACTCTGCCTCACCAAAGCAGAGCTGGAGCTGGGCAGAAATCCCTGAAGTGCTGATTTACATTTCTTTCAGCACTCCTGCACTCAGGGTGATTCAAACCCAGAGGTGTTCCTGTTCCTCCTTTGAAGGCCACAAAGGGAGGATTAAGATAAAAATCAAACCTGACTGTCAGAGGACGTGGAGGGACACACAATTATTCTGGGAATGTCCTCGTGGTAAAGGAAAGAACAGAGAGGAAAACTTGATGTCTGGCATCCCCAAAACTGGAGTGCTCAGCACCTTTTGACTCGTGGTGAGCAACTGGTGGTAGTGGCAGCTACAAAAAGGAAGAGCAGCTTTGCAAGTTGTCATTTCAGGGAGGTATTTCTGTCTGTGTGCTCAAAGCAGGGACTAAAAAAGACCTGAAAAGCTTTAGGAGGCATCTTTGGAGACATGGGGAGTCAGTGATGGTTTTAAAGCCTGGAGGAGGGCGGGCAGTTGGTGTGGGTGGGAGTGGGATGAGGAGAATGGGGAGTAGAAGTCATCCCAAAATCCTGCAGCAAGGGGGAAATGGTTGAAAAGCACCTGGCAGGGTACAGGAGTGCAGAATAGCTGGTGCTGCTTTGCCACAGGTTCTCCTTGGCAAGGGGAGTTTGCTCTTTCCAGGATAAGACACCAGGGCTGTTTCTGGCTGCAGGAAAGCAGCTGTGGCCATGAATCCTCTAAGGTTTGATTTTTATCCAAGTTAGAGTCTTGAGTAGGTGCAGTTAAAGCAAACCCCAAGCCTAAGAAGGTGCCAGTGTATGGTGGATAAAACAGTGGTTAAATAAATGTATTCAGAGCAGCAGTAACAGCCTTGTTAATGGGCCTGGGTGTTCTGGGGGGCACTGGGGGCTCGGGGGTCTCACTCATCACTGAAGGGGCAGAACAGACCGTGCACACTCAAGTTGTACATGGCATAAAGCAGGTGAGAGCTGCACGTGTGACTCAGGAGTGAGAAATGAGCAATTAAACGTGGCCTGAAAACGGGCTGGTGGTGAGGAAGGACCATGGTGAGGTTGGGATTCAAGCAAAAATAGCCATCTGCAGGCATGAGGATAATTGATGAGGTGTAATCCCTAATTAAAAGGCACCTGGTGACCTCCTGTGGATGTGGGAAGGTGAAAGTTGGAGTGTGGAAATTGGTGGTGGTGGCCTTGGCAGCACTGTGGGAGCAGTTGGGCTCCCAGGGCTGCTCCAGCCTCACAATTCCACGGCTCCACATGCCACTGCTGGGGCTGGCAGTGCCCATGGCACAGGGAGGGCCTGGGGACAAGTTACCAAACCCTCTGTGACACCTGCAGACACTCCTGGGACTGCTGAAGAGCAAACTGGATAAAATCTGCTGGGAATAACTGGGGCAAAGCTCGTTATGGTGAGTGAGGGTTGTGTACAGAGCACTCAGAGTCACTCCAGCCCTGTGTCCTTGTTGTCACTGTCACTGCTCCCAGGGGTTCTGTGCAGTGAAGAGCAGTGCTGTGTCCTTGCTGTCACTGCTCCCAGGGGTTCTGTGCAGTGAAGAGCAGTGCTGTGTCCTTGCTGTCACTGCTCACAGGGGTTCTGTGCAGTGAAGAGCAGTGCTGTGTCCTTGCTGTCACTGCTCACAGGGGCTCTGTGCAGTGGAGAAGAGCAGTGCTGTGTCCTTGCTGTCACTGTCACTGCTCCCAGGGGCTCTGTGCAGTGAAGAGCAGTGCTGTCACTGTCACTGCTCCCAGGGGTTCTGTGCAGTGAAGAGCAGTGCTGTGTCCTTGCTGTCACTGCTCCCAGGGGTTCTGTGCAGTGAGAGCAGTGCTGTGTCCCTGCTGTCACTGTCACTGCTCCCAGGGGCTCTGTGCAGAGGGAGAAGGGGCTGTCACTGCAGGCAGGATGAGCAGGGCTGTGTCCTTCAGGCTGCCCTTGGGTGATGCCCAGGGAGCTGTCAGGGGTGTGCTCAGCTGCATTTTGTGTCCTTCACGGGCTTTGCTGGGCACTGAGGGTGGCCTGGGCAATGTTGGTGGCTTGTCCATGACATGAGCAGTGCTGGGAGCTCGGGAGGGCACAGATCAGACCAAGTTACCATTCCATGAATGACCCAGAACCAGAGAATCATGGTTTGGGTTGGACAGGGCCTGGCTTGTTCCATTCCCTGCCACCCTCCCAGCTCCAAGCCCTGTCCAGCCTGGCCTTGGATAATCCAGGGATTGAGCAGCCACAGCTGCTTCTTCTCTTCCAGGGCCTCTCCACCCTCCCAGGGAACAATTCCCAATTCCCAATCTCACATCCAGCAGTGGGAGCCATTCCCTGTGTCCTGTCCCTCCATCCTTGTCCCCAGTCCCTCTCTGAGCTCTCCCTGGAGCTTCTCCTCTCCAGGTGAGCATTCCCAGCTCTCCCAGCCCTGGAGCAGCTCCAGGTCCTTGTGCTGTTGGACCCCAAAACTTTGCACAAGTCCAGGCAGATGATCCAAAAGCTTTTTGCCTGTTTTATACTCCAAACAAGACGCTTGGCTGAGATGCTGACCCTGGTCTGGTGAGAG